ACAGAGCAAAACCAAGCAACAATATACAGCAAAACAACAACAACAAACTACTGATGAAAAACAACCAAAACAAAACACAACAAGAAAGAAAAGCTTGTAGTTAGTTCAAGGATCATTTAGGTAGGAATGCTCAGCTTTGCTGAAGGTCAGGTTCAGAATTTATGTTTCTGTTTGAAATAGCTTTGAATAATCATTGCAAAAGTCTTTGTACAGGGGAGTATAGCAGCAATTGTGTATGAAAAAAGTTTGGTTGAGGCTAGATCTAAAACTTCCATCTCTTTTTAAAACAAATTTTATGAGCACATAATCTACGTATTCATTTCAGTAGTTGTCATATCAAGAGGAGTTGTGCAATCGTTATCAGTTTTAGCACATTTTCTTCTTTCTTGTACTCATTATTAGCTCCCAGTTTCCTCACAATTTGTTCCCTTGTCCCTGGGTTTGTTAACACCACTTCTTTTCCCCCTACCTCCCCCTCTCCCATGTCCCCCTAGAACTGTCAGTCCCATTGTTTTCTCCTCCAGGTTTTCTCCTCCCCTGCTATGCCCCAAGAAAACCATTAATTTGGTTACTGTATCTATAGATTCACCCATTTCATCTTCTTTCTTAAGGTAATGAGAAACTATTTAAAGTTTTTGAACAAAAAAGTAATAGGAACTCTTCTCATTGTTTTTAAAGAGACCATATTATATCATATATCTGCCTTATCTCAAACAATATTTAAAGTTTTGGTTAAAAATTACTGTTTTATAAAAATAGCCAAAGACTATAAGTAAGGCTTGAAAAAACTAAGAAAACTAGTCCTTTTTATTGTTAGAAAATATATAAACACACTTTCCAATTTAATACTCTTCACATGTACAATATATTAATGAAACTAATTACATTAATTGTGCAACTACTACTCATAGCTGTTGCCACATCTTCCAACACATGTCCCACCAAAAAAAAAAACCTTTTTGTTTTTGACCTAGTGATATCTTATAAATAGCTCTTTTTTAAAATATAGATAATTCCAAGAAAACCTAGTTGCTGTCATATCAATTCTGACGCATTGTAACCCCAAGTATGTCAAAGTAGAACTGTACTCCGTGATGGTGGTGGTGGTGGTGCCAGTGAATCAGTTCCAGCCCATAGTGACCCTACACACAATATAACAAACACTGCACAGTCCTGCCCCATCCTTGCAACTGTTCCTCTGCCCATCACTGGATTCCTGAAAGCCGTCCCCTTTTTTGATGCCCCTCTACTGAACCAAACATGATGTCCTCCAGGGACTGATCTCTCCTGACAACATGTCCAAAATATGTAAGTCTTGCCATCCTTGCCTCTAAGGAATCCTCTGACTGTACTTTTTCCAAGACAAATCAGTTAGTCCTCTTAGCAATCGATGGTATCCTAAATACTCTTCTCTAGCACCACAATTCAAATGTATCGATTCTTCTTCAGCCATCCTTATTCACTGTCCAACTTTCACATGTCTATTAGGTAATTGAAAATACTATGGCTTGAGTCAGGCACACTTTAGTCCTCAATGTAACCTTATATTTTAACACTCTAAGGAGGTCTTGCACAGCAGATTTACCCAGTGCAATACAACACATCTTTTCGCCTCTTGATTGCTGCTTCCATGAGCATTGATTGTGGATCCAAGCAAGAAGAAGTTATCTAATCCTTGATAACTTCAGTGTTTTTCCATTTATCATGTTACCTATTGGTCCATGTGTTAGTCTAGGTAGACTAGAGAAACAAATCCATGGACACATGTGTATAAGAAAGAGATTTATATACAAGAGCAATTGAACATTAAGAAACATCCCAACCCAGCCCAGATCTAGTCCATGAATCCGATATTAGCTCATAGGTCCGATACTAATCTGTTGCGGTTTCTTGAAGAGGGAAAATGAGCATAGAACAAAACAGACACACATACACAGAGACAATATAAGACTGCAGCACAAAACACACACAGTGGGGAGGAGATGAGCCAG